ACATTCGCTGCGTAGTTGCTTGGCTGCTGGATTGGGAACCAGTGGCGAGAGTGAGGGTGAAGAAACCAGAGCCATGTGTCTCGTCGAGACGGCTGGTGGGGTTGCTAGTCCAGGCCCCTCTGGGTCCCTTCAATGTGACTTATACAGGTGCCTATAAGATTCTATCATCGTACCGCGTATAATTGATTATTCTATTACTACTGCACTGTTCTCTTTCTTCTTTCTTTCTATTTTTAAATTACCGGCGTTGTACTGGAAGAATTCTACCGGTTGCAGCAATCGAAAATGCCATGACGAATATTGTGCTGTTCGATTGATAAGTTCGGTTCTAACGTGGTTAGAGTTCAGTACTGTTGGTAATCATTTAATATTTAACCAAGCTGAACTCGTCTTGCTTTGATTCCGCATCTTTTCCAGATGTGCCAATGCCGAGTTTGAATCTTTTGAAATTAACATTTTTTCTTAACGTGTTTGTTTATAAGAGCTGGACCTCTCTGCTGCTCGGGTTGTGTGTGCACCCTGTTGTCTGTAATGAATAATCTGTTATATCATTTCTGATGTCAGCATTGTGCCCAATCATTTTCTGTGGTTCTAAATTTTTTCCCATTAGAAAACTTCTCTTCGAATTTGCTTTGTGAGGATACCATACAGCTACAACCCATTCTGGCGGCAGGACATTTAAATATATGAATTGAGAATGTTAACTGGATTTGTGTTTATTCTTTTTTCTTATACGAAATTCATAGATGAACTTTTCGAGAGCAAGCAATTGTGATTAAGAATGAGCCGTTGGTATATTTTATCATTTTTTATCATAGAAAATGGTAAATATTGAATCATGTGTATACTGCAAATATGTTTACTTGAATCCTGAGTTTCAGATTTTGATTTCATTCTATCAGACCTTTTCGTTTGCCCTGCCTTCTTGTTGGTGATGGCCGGCTGGGTGGTATTTCTGGAACAATTTCAGCATATGAGATCTTGAAACTTCGAGGTTACGATGTTGCCGCCATTGTCTTTGCTGATAATGGTCTTGAAAATGAAGTGCCGCTTAATTCTTATCTTCGGAATAGGTAATTGTAGTACTTTTTTCTGGTTGACTGGAATTTTCTTTCATACGATCCATGGTACTCGAAAGTGTCAGACAACGTGTTATTGTATCACATTGATTTTTTTAAAATAGATTTTCGGAATAGATTTTCTTTTGAAGTAGGTTCCTTCAAGAGATTGGACGCTAAAATCCACTAAATTTCTTGGCATGCACGTGCAACATGAAAAAGACCAAAATCCTTCAACTTAGAAATTTTATTCGTTCAGATGTCCTTTACCACCCATTTTTGAGTTCCAATTGGTTGGGCTGCTCTGCATCACAGGCATGTGGCCAAGCTGTCGCCACATGCCTATCCGATAGTATGACATTGTTTTAATTTCATTCTTCCTGAAACTGTCTTTTTCTCATATACTGTTATAATTTCTTACTTCAATTTATATTTCAGCCTTGAGACATGTTCATTGACCTTTCTCTTTTAGGGTGCCGGTTCTTGTGCTGCCTCCCATTCCAACTGATATGACAGATGACCTGATGGATTGGTTTGATAATTCTCAGAACGTATTTGATTCTCTGAAGGAAATAATGCTATCAGCTTATTCAAAAAGAATTAACAGATTGCGAGAAATGCCAAAAAGGGCAATGAATGCTTTTTGGTGGCCGTTCACCCAGCATAAACTTGTGGCAGATGAAGCTGTTACAGTAATTGATTCTCGCTGTGGTGAGAACTTCACCGTTTTCAAGGTGCAACTCAGCATTTCTGTTACTGAATAATATATTTTTATATTACATTTATACTTTCACAGAGTTTTCCAGGTGGGTTCTCCGTGCGTAAGGTGCATATATGTGAATATATGCATTTGTTTTAAAATTGTAATATTAGTGAAATAAAATTTATTCAATTCAAATCATGTACGTGCCTACAAATCTTTTTGTATATAGTTACATTTTGAAAATATTTTTCCACTATCCGAAGGTTTCTATAAATAGATTTTAACATCATTTAGGAGTTGAATTTGTCTTACGGATCCCTGTTGAAATACTGTATTTTTTCGACCTTTTGACTTCATGTATATGTACTGTATTGATATGCTGCCCTTGGAACTCACATTACCTTGATTCCACGTGCATGTATGATTTATTTATGCTTCTGTGAACTTCACTAGCCATGTAGCATAAAATATTATAAGAACTTATCATGTTTTCATTTCATGTTCAATGTAGAATCATGATAATGAGTTTATGACTCAACAATTTGATGCATGTGCCAGTTGGTGGACACAAGGTCCTGATGCTGCCTTACAGGTCATATCCTGTTCCTTTTTCTTTTTTCTTTTTTATTTATTTATTTTATTTATTTCTCTTTTCATTTAAGCTGTTGCGGTTTGTGTCATATGATTCATTTAGTTTCTAAGTTTTAGCTAGTTTCCCACATTTAAAATAACAAAGGAGAAGAAACCAACCAACAGGTTTCTCTCTGATAGCAAGAACTATTATGGAAAAACAAGCAACATATCCAACACAATAATGATAACCTTTTATAAGGATTATCTCTCTCCATTAAAGGAATATCATAATCCCTATTTCCTTTTACCTTCCCTTATTTTTTTGCAACTACAAACACTAAACAAGTTTTCCCTCCCCGCCCTGATTGAGTTATTAGGGGTATATATTACTCTTGGCTGGTTGGTTTGTTAGAGAAATAGTGGTTCTAAATAGAGTGAATTAGTGAGAGGAACGGTTTGGACGGAAATATAGAAATGTTGTTATGGTAACAACCCTACGACATTTTTTTGTCAGAAAACTTGTAAGATTTTAATATCCTTGGTGCATGACCACCACGAGGTTGAAACTAATTCTTTCTAAGCCCCTTTACTTTGTCACTAGCCCGAGTGACCACTAGGCTATTAAAGATCCATAATGTTATTAAGGTGTTTCTGTTAAAATTCTTTTTCTATTTGTTTTTTTAATTTGTGTTTCTGTTAAAATACTTGATCTTTTCATTTCTTTGCTCATGTTGAAATGGTAAAATACTGTGTTCTTTGTCCTTTTGAAAAAAAAAAAAATATATATATATATATATATATATATATAGCCGTGGAATTCTTATATTTCATTGCATTAGCATACCCTTAATTTTGCCTTAACGCACCTTTTGTTTAGGTGTTTTCAGACTGAGCTAGCAAGAGATGTGGGTTATGCTGCTGCAAGATTTGGGCATGTAATGTTTCCAGAGAATGTGTATGAACCAGCATTGGAATGTGCAGAGCTCTTGCTTGAAGGTGTCGGAAAAGGTTACTACCTTTTTTTTAACCTATTTTTCTCATACGGTCATGTCATGGATTTTTTAAATTATGCACACATATTTAGACATGTTCCAAATTGACCAATGTTAGATTTTTCAGATTCCCGATTACCATGCTACCCTGCAGCCTAAAATTTGATTAATTTATTTATCAAGCTCATAATTGAAATAGTTGGCCCAACGAACCTTATTTATTTACATAATTTGGCCATGAAATTCACATAAAATCAATTACTTATCTGGGATGAACTTAAAAATTGTTTGCACAAATAAAAAGTCATTGACTCCATATTATAAATGGACCTCTATAATTACCTTAAAGTTAGAAATTATTGAAAGCCATACAAATAAAAAAGTAGGTACGAGAAAAAATAATAATGATGAGACAAGGATCAGTTCTTCCATCTTATCTTAAAAAAAACAAACAAAAGCAAACAATTGACTCTTCATCCATGTTTTTCTTTACTTAGGATACATTTTTTTTAGCTGGTTATCATGTATATTGAGGGCAAATAATGCTTAGAACTTAAAAGATTTATTTATAATTTGCATCTGTACTTCAAAGTCTTGTGAGTGGCTTTGAGAGTTTTGGTTTTTGACTTATCTGAATAAGCTTTGATCCCAGAAAAAAGTTTCACATCCATAAATTTTCTAGCTAAGAAGTTATTCTATTTGTCGCACAGTTGTACTAAACACAACTTTAGTAATTGTTGTGTGAAATATTAACCCATTTACCTTTTGACTTCTGGTTTCATTTGTAAGTATATTAGACTCCGCTGATTAAGTAAAATGGAAACAAGAATGATTACGTTGAATGATGAACCATTATTAACTCAATAAGTTATTTGAGGGTTTTGTATCTAGAAGTATGGTGCAATTTATGCTAAGCTATAGTTCAAGAGGAGGGGTTAGTGTAGTTAACCTTTTCCTTGATTCTCTACCTCTGTTTTACACCAGAGTTCAATTGTTTGCAGGTTGGGCTTCTAGGGTGTATTTCTCAGATAATGGATCTACCGCCATTGAAATTGCACTAAAGATGGCCTTTCGGAAGTTTTCTTTTGACCATGGAATCCATGATGCTCAAGAATGCAATGCTGAAGGACAACGTACTGAGCTTATGGTAAGTTGGGAGCTCAACGTATATGCCAAATACACTCAGATAGCAATAATTTTTATTTTGAGACATCTACTAGCATGCTCAAAACATCTGGATGGACCCCCTTCACTTTCCATAGCCAAGATAACCTTTGTTTAAAATATTGAACTACTCCTTTCATTTGTAAGACAGGGACTAATTAGTTGTGGCTTCTTGCAGAGAAGGTTGACCTTCCTTAATGCAAGAGTTCCTTGATTGTAGAGGAAGTTCTTCCTTTGTAAAGAAGGAAGATGATCATCATCTTCTTCTTTTAGTTACAGGCCTTCTCTACAGAATCTTCTTACTCTTCCAATAGCGACTTATGAATAGTCCTCTGACTCTCATAGTAATGTGTATCAGTTGCCCACACTCGATTCCCTATCTCATCATTTCTCCATGATCTATAATCTATATCATTAATTAAGCGGAGTGAAAAATATCTAAGTATTACTTGGCTACCATTGTCCCAGTACACAAACTTAGTAGTTTGTTCCCCACGTGATTTTCTGTTGTTGACAATTATAATCATGCATGATATTGCGGTGTAATTTTTTTTGAAGAAAAACTTATAATTTATTGGTGACATTATCTAGATTTACTATTCCAGGTTTTGGCTCTCAATGGATCATATCATGGTGATACATTAGGAGCTATGGAAGCACAGGCACCGTCATGTTACACAGGCTTCCTGCAGCAACCATGGTATAGATTTTTGCATACACACCTATGATGTTTGTTTAGTTCATCCCAGAAATTTTCAAAATATGTATTTCATTTTATTTTTTGGGAAGAAACGAAAATTTCATTAATTATAATGAAAGGAACAAATTCGTAATAAAGAAGCCAGTATTTTCTTTTGAACATCCATTCTTTGATCAGGGTTTATGAGGTGACTGGTTACCATTCAATCTTCTTGTAAGAGTATCCTTATATCCATTGTGTATGAATTTTAACGTATTTTTCTTGGGTTCTGCCACCTAAAAATTATGTGATCCAACATGTATAATGTGATTGGCCGCAAAGCATAATCCAACATCCATAACGGACGCCATGGAGCTGAAACGTTAAAATTTTATCAAAATTTGTAAAAAAAAGTATTTAGTAACAACGTTTTGATCTGTTTTTTTTTAGGTGATATGATACTGGATATTAATCTGGTAAAAAAAAACTTCGATATCAGATTTTTCAGCATCGTTGCTATAGCTAGTCACGTAGTTCTCTTAGCTCAGAGAGAACAAGTGTTTTGTGCACATTACTCGAGTCTAATTAGCGATTCTTATTGCGTGAAAGCTCTTCTTGTAGTTCTTGTACTTTTTATCTTTTTGATGTTTTTGTTTTTGTATACAGCCTGCCTTGTACTTTCACTCATCTTGATGAAAGATCGTAGTTCTTTATGCATGAAAGGGATTAATAGTGAAGGATAGTCCTGGGAACATGTTAATATCACATTTCTTGCATACCCACAACAGGTACTCTGGAAGAGGTGTGTTTTTGGATCCTCCTACAATCTATATGCACAGAGGTAAATGGTATCTTTCCTTGCCAGTTGGATTGCAGCCAGAGACCAAGATGCTTGAAAGTGCTTGTAAGTGAATATAGTCCTACCCCATTGAAGTACATATTGTTTTTTTATTATTGACATAATGTTATTTCTATCAGTTTTCTATTCACGTGATGAGGTATTTGATGAGAAAAGGGACCATTCAGATTTGGCTGGAATTTATTCAGCATATCTGTCTCAACAATTATCATATTCTTCAAAATCCAAATCTTTCCTTGGAGCATTGATTATTGAACCAGGTAACCAAGATACTACCATCATAAAACT